GTTTTGCATGAACGAAGTATATTGCCTGTCTTCTCTTCATCATGGAGATGATACTTGGAATCGAGGTAACCATTTTATCATATTTCCCTTCAAGTTAAGTGCAATGAAACATCCATGAAAACAAAGAACTTTTACATATATATTCATATAAGAAAAGAACCTATGAGCCAATAGTCCTATGTTGAACCAGCATGGCACAGAAAATAGATTAAAAAATAATCAATATAGGGACCATATTTTCTCCATGTTACTGATAAATATATATATATACTACAAGTATTGAAATATGTCAGTATGTATACAAATGCTATAGATTACTGGTTTGATTCTTTGCAAAGACCAAATATGGTTTTGAGATTATTTTACAGAATAGAGTTGAGTTCAAAGTGGTCTTATGTCAATAAAAGTTTTTCATTTCTCTTCATCCCTTCCTGATGCTTAGTCAAGATAATTTTTTTTTTCCTGAGGACTAGTTTCACTTGGGAAAGGAGTACTATTTACCTTGATATAAACTAGCTCACGGTAAGTGGCAGCCAGCTATAGAAAGCCAAATTCATACAATTTTTCTCTTCTGACACAATCTATTTCACAAGCCAAAATAAGGAATGTAACCAAAATACTAAGAACATTAAAGCACATAAAATACTAGGTACTTAGCTAACTTCCCTGGTGTCATTAGGATTACTGAGACTACACCTAGCTTTTTGTTGACTCTAGATATGGAGTCTCCGATTCTTTTCAGGGAAAGTGAAGAAACTAAGAAACAGTTTTAACTTTAATTTAGATGCACACAAACAGGCACATTCTTATTCTTTTAAAAACAGTGTACATTTTGCTGTCCACTGGAAAACAATAAGCAGAGAAGCATATTTTTAAAACATGCAAAATGTAACAAAATTAAACAAAGTGTTCTGATTAATTCTTTATTTTCAACATCAAATACATTGATAAAAATCTTGCACCAATCAGGTAGCCTACCAGATTTTTTATTTAGACTTTTTTAGAACTTTTTTTAGGTGCAAAACAAAGAAAAAATACCTCACCAAAACCAAAGACATTAATAATTTCATATGCATCAGTGAAAGAACAGAATACTTCGACAAATACATTAAGATAGCTGAGCCTATACCAAAGAAAGGACTTTGCATTGACAGACTACATAGTGCACACAAAAGCATTGGTTTCATAGTACATACAGTAAGGTAATACATAAAGTGGCTTGATAATGCAAGTCTCGTGACCAGCAGTCTATCCCTTCCTTTTTCAATGGGCACTTTCTGAAGAAACAGACTTCTAATCATAGGCACACAGGATTACAGAATTTTCTAATTTGCAAGATGGCAGCATATCTTCTTTTCTAGATTTTTGTTTGTTTATTTTCTTTAGGCACATTTGAATGCAAAAGAATTTAATACCTATCTAACACAGTGCAAAACCAAATACCCTTTATGGGCAACAATCACTTTGAAAACAACTTTCAGGATATAAGGCTACCTACATTTGAAGGATGAAAGGGAACTGTGAGTGGAAAGGGGCGGACATTAATATTGGGAAAACATTGATTTCAAACTCTCAGATCAATTTGAGATTATACTACACTTGCAGGTGACAGCAAAGATTGGTTTGTATTAGGATACCACTGTTAACCTCACCCTTCTATTACATGTGTTGACTTTCCATCTGTAAAGCCATATCACAGTTGTAGATAGCATTGAAAACACCAATCCCTTTATTCAAAGTAAGAAATGTACTTCACACAAGTTCAGCTGAGAATGCCTTATATACAAAACCCATTATCTGTAGGTTGAGTTGCACTCTAATTTTAAAGCAGGAAATTATATACACAAGAGGGGCTTGCCATGTTCTTACCTAAGCTTGCAATAAGACTAAGGACCTACTGAGGCAGAATTTTTATTTTGTTGGTAGTTTGCTTTTTTTTAAACATTTGGCTCAGGTCTTAAGGAATTAGTTGCCATCAACTGAAATGGATGTATGCTCCAGTACAAATCCTGACTCATATGAAGAGGATGGTTTGGGGGTTTTTTTGTTTGCTTTTTTTCAACTCAAGGTCCAGTGATCTGCTGACAGTCCTTGCAATATCCTTGGGAGCTCAGTTTGGATTATTTCCTTAATTACATTTTAAACCCCTCAGTGTAGAGAAGGAGAAAAATCATCAAGTGATGTCACTGAAACATAATAGTAAATTTATCACAACACACACCAATAAACTTTCATTAAACTATTTTACCCGAGTACAAATCTTACTACCCCAACTGGGAGTTTTACCTGAGACAAAGTCTGCAACACTGAGACATGGCTCAAGCCACTATAAACCAGAGTAGCTTTCACGTAATCAAACACCACATATTCTGACACCAGTAGGTGTTACACATCTCCCTATCTCCTCTTCTACCTCCCAAGCTTTTTGAGATACTTCAGTAACAACCATGTTCTCAAGCAAAGCAAATTCATCTGGTCTATTTGTTTGCCTTGTGCTGGTATTACATTGCCTATGTTTCTAGAGGGTTTCTTTGTTTTTTGATGTTTTTGTTTTTTTAAAAAAATCCATGTACAAACGTTACAAAATAATTATTTTGTTAGCTGTCCAGAGACATCACTATGAATGTTTTGGTAAAAGCATAATTAGCTGCCTTGAAAAGTATTCCTTCATTTTTTTACATGCTATATATTTTTATGTAATATCCAGCACCAGATATTCAGGTAGTACTGGTTTGTCAGCTGCAAATATAAAGTATATATGTATATATATATATATACACACATAAAATAGCATCTTGTGAAATAACAATTACCAAATGTCAGGCACAATTGTTTGCATACACGAGAGCATCATTCAGAAATACATATGAAAAAAGTTACTATTTTTGTATCATAGACTTTATTTAATCAATTGAATAGCTACATTCGTCTGTCTGATATGGGGGCCATCTTTATAGATAACTCTGGGAATGTTACTATATTCATTAAGGTGCTGCTTCAATAAAAATGTCATTAAAAAGTTAATAAAATGGATCCTAAATCTGCCCCGAGGTAAATTAATGTATTACTGGGAATCACTCTTTCTAGGTTGCCCTTCACTTTTGTCACCACAAACATGGGAGGATTGGATGAAAGCTAAATTGCTTCCTTGCAAGGGCTGAGCCCAGGAAAGAATTCATAATTATTGTGAACTGACTGATATTATTCTGTATATTCCAAGACACATTATGATACCCTTCTGACTGCTGCATACCACTTCAAATCATGTTTTTCCATCTTCACTAGCAAAATCTCATGAGTATAAAGGTACTTGCCCTTTATGGTACCATCCAAATCTGACCCTCTGTTGCGAATTGCTCTCCGTGAACTACCTTTTATCCTCTAGGCCAAATTTACACTTGAATCAATGTAATGACCTATTCTGGGATGTAGGAAGGGAGGCATTCATTTAAATAAATTTGTCTTCCAGCTTATGAGCTTGATCTGTGTGTTCTAGCCTAGAGAACAACAAGTTGCATGTACATTATTTAAAGAGCAGCTCTAATGCGCACTGGACTACAAGTGAATGATGATGGTGTAAGCAGGTGAATTCAACTACAGGGATTCCTGTGCTCCATTCAGATCTTAGCCTGCACTCATTTCATGGTTTTTCAGGTTTACATCTGAAAACCAGCTACTAAAAAACCCAAAATTTCCATTTACTTTCATGACATGTAGGAGCCCTCAAAAAGCCCTTTGGTACCAAATAAGTGCTTGCACACACACGCATACACACACACACATGCTTTTACTGAACACACAAAAAGACAAAATCTTCAGCACATTCAGAAAAAAAATGACACCATAATTTGCATCAAGAAAAGGCCTATGAACTTACAGTGACTGCTTCACATTAGGCTTGCAGTTTTCAAGGAATCTTCTCAAACATTGGTAGCATGTAGCTTTAGGCTTTCAAACTGCTCGTATCCTCAGATATGTACATTAAACTATTATAGACACCATTATGTACATTCACAAAATAATTGAATTCTTGACTTGAAGCACAAACCTGTCCTATGCCTTGCTGCCTTCACAACTGCTGTGAAACTTGATCTCACTGCACACAGACTCTGCCTGTATGACAGGGCACGTAATTAGACATAGGCACTCCTGTATGGCAATACTTGCACCGTTTCCTATATTTACTTTCTATGGGATATTCCAATCAACATAAAGGTTTCAACCATAGTAAAAACATCCCTGAACCATTTCACTAGCACTTTAGTCAGCTGGTGTGAAGCAGCCTACACGTATGCTAGGAAACAACCTCACTGGTAGGGTGGTTGCTTGCAACCAGCTGTTGGAATAGTCCCTGGTCTGTGCTAACTCTCAATCTGCACCTGTCAATCAGAAGTGCAGATAGCACAGGCAAAGTTTATCATTATGTTAGTAAAATAATCCTGGTATATGTAATAATCTCATTCCAGTACCCAGCAAAGTTCCCTGACATTTAATTTTCTAGCATAGAGCCAGTCAAACAGCAGCACCAACTCCTACTTTGGATAGCATATCATGTGAAGTTCTTCAGTCTCTTTCACGTCTTATTGAAACTCTTGATGTCAGTGGACCTTTTGTATATTTATAGTTGGTCTGAAGAATCAAACTGATCCTTATGAATATCCTTAGGAGCTACAGACATGCATGGAGAAAGATTAATCTTTCTGGACATGCAGTCCCAGAGTCTACACCATGTGTGAGGCTCATTGCCCAGTGTTGGTGTCACAGGTGAGCTGGCTCTTAACAGTAATTTTGAAGCATGCCACAACAAGAGCCAAAGAATGCCAAGGCAAGGAAAAATCTGCTGCTCTGGCTATGATACTAGCCCTCCCACACACAGCTAGACCACATTCTGCTAAGCAGGATGGGACCATCCCACCCTGTTGTGCCAGTCTCGCACTGGCATCCTCACCCCTTGCTTTGTAGCACAACAAAGCTCAGGATAGGGGGAGGGAACTTTTGTAAATAGTGCTGGATCCTGTATGTGTGTGAAGACCATATGATTTTTGTAATCATCTGGTCTGATTCAAGAGTAATTCTCTGTGTTATCACTGTTTGCCATGTTGCCCTGGATTTACACTCTTGGGCAACAAAATTATTTAGCTTTCTAGGATCAGACAAGACAGCATGCATGCAAAGCAATTAATCTAGGGAATATGGTAAGGGTACCTAAACATTTGGTCAGAATGAGGCTGAAAGGGAGTTGTCTGGTGATGTAAGCCAGCGAGGTAAAATACTATAATTCTCAGACAGCAGTTCCTTTATACTGTAGGAAGAAAAGAGGCAGGAATCCAACTAGACTACCAAGGCAGTCCCTCGCAGTGCAGCTTCCCTATGGCACACTAAGATGCCAGTCAGCTTTCTCCTTACACTGCCCAAGAAGTCATACAGAATCTCCACCAAACTGCTTCAAAGTTTCAAGCAAGTAAGGGACTAAGTGAGCTCAGGATTTTGGATGGCTATTAACAAAGACCACCACTCATGAAGATACCAATATGCATGGGTGCTATGGCCTCTCAATTTATAGTAAAATGAATGTATGCTTCAGATGAGGACTTAATTACCCAAATAACATGCAAAATTAAATTAAAACACTACAAATTTTAAATCAAGTTAGCCAGACAATCCTTGCCTGCTATCCATGGCAATGAAATGCCTTCCATTTAGGATAAGCAATCAATTTAGGCAAGCGCTTGACAAACACTCATATGGAAAATGCTGGTGTCTGTTCACTGGAGTGTTTTCAAAGGTGGCACTACAGATGAAATGGAGCATGAGCTAGGTAGAACACTGCTGGGTTTCTCATACCACTGTATATGCTGACTTCCGTTTATATTGTATTCTGCATATTCTCCTCTTCTTTGCTGTTTACATAAAAAGACTGCAAGGAATGAGATGAAGCTGATGCAGTTGTCAGCTGGCTTCGGTTCTCCTCTTCCACGGGTGCAGCACTCCTGGCTGCTGGGGCGTGCAGTCGGTGAGCGTCCAGCATCTCCAGCAAGAGATCGTAGAGTGGAACTACGTTCTTACACTTCATATTGTACAGGTGCTCCATTCCTTTGTTGCTGTGGGTTGTGATGAAAAAAGTTACTTTCCAAATATGCTATGGGGCAAGGGGAGGGAAGCTACCAGCTAATAATATTTGCTGGGTTCATATAAATCCTGTCTTGTACTAAAAAACTTAGCAGAGCATTTGCTGTACGCATCTGCTACAGTTAAGCAGGCAGCAGCACCTTCAAAGAATTTTGCAGACTGCTGTAGTCAAGAATGTAGCAGACTGCTATACATCTGGAATTTCCTTAATTGTACAAATTCTTTTTAGAGGGGAAAAAAAGTTCATTAACACAAGAACAAGAAAACTCTATAAAATGACACAAGTGAAAAAAACACATGAACACATCCCTTGATTTTCCCTCAAAGATCTCCGTATCAATTCAGGAGGTAAAATCTACATTTTTCAGCTTTAGTAGCAATGATGTGGTGTTTACTCTAATTTAAATTTCATTAGCTGAAATAATAAAAATCTGTGTAGCAACACCTCCTGTGGTTTCATAATAATAAAATCTATAGCATATCTTTGTAGAAATTTATCCTGTTGACACCTCATGCACTGAGCAGTTACCTTAAGAGGTAATTTGGAAGAATCATTTGCTGCAATTACTAACAGTGTGTCAGGAAGCTCACCTCTGATTAGCAAAAGGCATGGTCCTCTAGACTGGAATTTAGTAGTTCTGCATTTATCCTCATCCATACAATTCACATCATAATCCTAAATCTCTTCTCTAAAGTGATTTGCAATCATGACACTTGTGAGAACTAGCTGCATAGAAGTAATAGCTTTATTAAATCTTATAGGAGACTAAAGTTTGCAGAGCTAGGCTACTCCTACATTAATATTCTAGTCTGTACTTTCCATACACCTGTGTCCAGGTCCAGGGTCCTCACCCTGAGAAAAACTTAGACCTGTTAGAACAGGTTCAGAGCAGGGCCACGAAGGTGATCCAAGGGCTGGAGCACCTCTCCTATGAGTAAAGCTTAGAGAACTGGAGTTGTTCAGGAGAAGAGAAGGCTCCTTACATAAGCCTTCCAGTACCTAAAGGGGACCAGAAGAGAGCTGGAGAGGGACTTCTTACAAAGGCATGTAGTGACAGGACAAGGCAGGGTCACTTCAAATGGAATGAGAGCAGGTCTAGATTAGGTAGTAGGAAGAAATCTGTACTCAGAGTTGTGAGGCACTAGAACAGGTTGTCCAGAAAAATTGTGGGTCTCCCATCCCTGGAAGTGTTCAAGGACAGCTTGGACGGGGTTCTGAGTAACTTGGTCTAAGTGGAAGGCATCCCTGCCCATATCTGGAGGGTTGGAACTAGATTATCTTTAAGTTCCCTTCCAAACCAGGCCATTCTGTGATTCTATGGCACATACAAGATTAAAAGCAGATACTGCTTTCTATCAAACTATCAGCATGATCAAACAAAAGGCAAAGACAACTAGAAGGGACAAATGGGGTAAATATTTTCATATGGAATTTTTTGTTGTTGTTTTTTGTTTGGTTTTTTATGTTTTTTTGGTTTTTTTCATAACAGCCCTTCACACAGTTTGCACTCCCACCCATAAAGGAAAAATGTGCATGTGCATTTGTGACACCTGTCTTGCCTGTGTCCAGTACAGAAGTGCTGACTGTGTGCTTGCCCTCACCTCATGTGTCTGATGTGAGAGAGGATGAGGAGGAGCTGAGCCAGTCGTCTGTGTTGCTGCTGCAGAGAAAGACCTGACTTAGCCATTAAGTGTATCAGAGTATCTGTGATTTTGTCCAGGACACGGTGAATATAATCTTTTTCTTCCAGAGATTTCAAGGTGCTGGAAAGAAAAGTGTACACACCTAGAGTAGGAGGGAGAAAGAAAAGAAACAAACCACAGACAAAAATTACTTTGGTGGACTCACAGTCACCCGAGGTATGCCCTGTGCTGCCTCTTAAGCTGTGCTAAGCCACAGCATCTGACTGTGTGCCAGCTCTCTTGCTTGGTAGCCATGTCGCTGCTCTGAATGACCCTGGAGCATGGATTTGGGCACTGTGGGAAAAGAAGGAGGAGGAAGACAATGCCACTTTCCTACCTGGGTCCCACCAAGGTCTGTACCAGGTGCTGGATAACACCTGCAGCTAGCCCTACCTGGGGGCTGTGCTCTTCTCCTGGTCACTTGGCTCTGAAACCTTGAGGAGATGCTGTTCCCCTTGAGAGCTCTGCAATACTTACCAACCAACCCAAGATTTCAGCAGCTTTTGCCATTTCCCCTGCTGTTCAATATTTGATTTTTAGTGATTTTTCTAGTCAATCTAGAACTGAATAATGTTACCACAAAGCATGTAAACAAAACCAGGGTTTGTTTATGGATGTTTGCCTCAATTAAATCCTCCCAACCAAGCAAAAGCCTTGAAAGGTGTGCTCCTTCACCTGCAAAGCTGACTCTCCTTTAAAAACTGTGTCCAAATCAGCTTGTGAAAATTTAGCTGTCTTGAATAGCTTACTGCTGAAAGTGAGCAGCCTGAAGGTTTGGACCAGATAAAAATTTTTCCAGAAGACAAAACAACTTAAAACTCCCTCTCCAACAGCCCCTCTACATCACCTACAAGAGCCTCTAATCCAGGCATGAGAGCTTTTGCTGCTAGTAAATCTTGGGAGCATGAAACACATCAGCTTTCAAAATGGGAAAGTCTAAACTATTTTGGGCTGTTTTATCTTGATTTTTTTTCTGGACAACAACACACAGCCAATGTGAATCAGGCCACAACAACACTGTGCTGCCAAAAGAGAGCTGTTGCATTCAGCATCAGTTTTTAAATCTTTTGGACTGAACCAATAACTCTAAACAGGTCATATTGCCATAATCCAGTCCTGAGGCACCAGAGGTTTAAGATGTACATACAGGAATACAATCAAACTGGCTGCACCATAGAGTGTTCATTGTCCTGTGTCTATAACAGTCTTGACAAATCCTGTGCTTTGGCCCTTCTGCGTCAGCTTACAGAGCCAAGAAGAGACCTGGATTTTGTCCTTGAGGAAAAAAAAAATGGTTTCTGGAATAATTTTTTGCTTTGCTTTTCTTTAAAGCATCATATATAGCAGAATATGGAATTCAGTTAGTGCTGTTAAGAATAAAAGACATACAGACACTAGCATGCACGTACAGACAGACATATATGCTATAGCTTGTCAGATATATATGGTATAGCTTGTTTGTATTGTTTTCAGCCTTGCTACCACTGGATGTGAAGATATTTTACTATGCATCTGAGCAGTCAGGTAGTTGAGAATTTTTAACATCTTGGCCTACCTCATCTCCTCACACCTTCTGGGTACTTTAAGGATGTGACACCTAGAACTACTGTAACCTACAAATGGTTTTTTATGACTTTTTTTTCTTCTGTGCTAAAAAGAAATGTAAATGTGTTTGTGAATGTGTCTCTGGAAAAGAGTAAGCAAGAAACTGTTTTAAAAGACCACAAAAATAGCACAACTTCTGAAAATTATCAGTCAGAGTTCTTAATTTTGGTAATGGGTATTGCTTCAAATTTGATATAGATAGATAGTACAGTGGCCTCTTTTCTCACAAAGCTTTTCATAACTATTATTATTTTTACTGAAATTCACAAACAGGAACTGGTCCTTGGGCTTTTCTCAGCTGAACCTTTCTCAGCTGACTCTGAACCACCCTCAAATATTCCTATTGACAATACGAGGCTTGATAGCTTAACATGTACCTGTAGGGGCAAGATTCTTAAATATCACTGGCAGAGCACAATCCACTAGAAGGAAATATTAATCTCATAAATGCACAGTGCCTCCAGAGGAGTTTACTTCAGCCACAGGAACCTATTGTGCTCTTGCAGCAATACCCCATAACTTCATATTACTGAAGCTAGTAAAATAATAGAATCTTTTAAGAGGAATTTTTTCTCACCTAGGTCTAGTCTATTAAAAACTGTAAATCAAAAAAGCACTCCCCAATAACTGCAGAGAATTCAGGCAACTGCCAGTCAATAACTGCCAAGGAAAATTATGTTTAGTTTTCCTTTCTACACCCTCGCAGTGATTGCTCCTGCTCCAGGGCATTGACCAGTGATTGCCCAAAAAAAAATGGCTATCACACATTCATACACATCCAAGCAGAGCTTTCAAATGAGGGTGCAGAAAATTGCCTTAGCAAAGTGAATTTTAACAGTTTCCAAGGCCTTTCCAAGCCTAAATTCAATAGCTACCAGGTTGATTTCCAGCTCTTTCTGTAGGTCAGTGTTGTAAAACCTAATAGGTGCAAGAACAGAGAAAGCACCATCCCACAAGCCAGCAAGGTCTGTTGGTCCATGCCCATAACACATACCAGAACAGGATCCCTTGGGGGCTGCAGTGGTGCCATGCCAGCCCTTGGCATACATTGATAGAACTTTATATCTCTCACCACATATAATTATATATTTGTTGCATGTTACTGTAGAAGACAATTGTCATCAAAATCACAATAAACCCCAGTTTAAAGTATTTTTTTACATTTAGAGTTCAGGCTCACAGAACACCCAAGGCTCTTCTTCCATTACACCCAATTGCTCTTAAGCTTTAGCAAGACAGGCTAAAGTATGAGGAAATTCATCTCTGTACCATGCACTCCTGGAATCATCCAGCCCCCGAAATAAAGAAACAAATAAGCACAATTTATCAGGAACTGAAAAACATCAGGAGAAAAGAATAACAAGCAGTCACGTGGAACAATGTATCAGGAGGTCTCCTGTATTCATCAAATCAGCCAAATCTTTCCTTCTCTGTGGACTAACAAACTAACTAATTAGGTAAATCAGCTGCTGAGGCAGATGTTCATGTCTACATCTTCACGTCCAAAATGAAACCCTGTTGCTTTGCCACATAGCCGCACTCCTCCGATACACTCAAAAGTAAAACATCTGGCATCATGTTGCTCTTTCATGATTCCAGTACCTATTTTCCAATGTTAAGTAACAGCTGCATGTGGTTTTCAAAAACAGTACTTTGCTTTTTAGTCAAAAGGTTTATTGCTGCAGCTTTAGAGGCAGACCTTTAGGTTTGTTATTTAGATGGACACAATTATGTCCTTGTTGTTATAGACATGATGTCACCTTAATATCTCAGGAAAACTGTGGAAGTAGCATAAGCATCTACATTGGTTTATAAACAAAACCTTCCATCCTTTCTACATGCACTGAGCAAATCTAAAAAAAAAAAAAAAAAAATTGTGTTTTGTCCAAAACCACATGGAAAAGAAGTGTAAAGATATTAAACAGCCTTGCAAGATGTTGCAAAACCAGAAATGTCCAACAAAGGCCATAAACAACACTACTTCATGTGAAGAGACTTTCAGATGTCCAAGGATTTAATAAAGAAATGTTTGTGTACACTCACTGAATTAAATTCATGCAAAGATTTAGAATGCAAATTCAGGCTGCTTTTAAACACGAGATGTAGCATAATCAGTCCTATTTGTTTAATTAATCCACTTGTTTAAATAATTTTGAGATCTGCTGGTTTAATCACATGCATATGTAATGCAGACAGCATAATAAGCCAAAAATTCACTGTGTGTTTATCTGCTGTTTCTTTAGTGGCAGATTTGTGAATATTTACATATGCACTCACAGAAAGAAATCAGGTTAGGGTAGGTTTGGAGGTCATCTAGTTCATCCTCTTCCTCAAATAGTGGTAGCTTCAGAGTCAGAACAAGCTACCCAGAGCTTTGTCCAGCTGAGTTCTGAGTACTTGAAAGGATTGAGATCCTACCATCTTTCTGGCCAACCTGCTCCAGTGCTAAACCTCTCACTGGGTAGAGTTTTGTTCTGTTTATCTGGTCAGGATCTCCCCTGCTGTGGTTTGTCTCCATTGCAGATTGTCCTTTCCTTTGGCACCTCTGAGAAGGGTCTGGCCCTGGCTTCTCCATAACCTGTTCATCATCTCTATAACCAGCTGTTCATCAGCTGTCTGAGGGCTGCAGTAAAACTCTCCTTTACCTCCTCTTTCCCTGGATGAACCAACGCAGCTCACTCAGCCACGTGCTTCAGAGCACATAGTGTTTCAGAGCACTTTATGAAAGGTTGGCTATCTTCTGTGAAGTAAAGCATCTCCAAAAGACATTTTAGAGGATCTATGCAAACACTCACACAACTCTTACACATACCCCAAATTATGCTACTTATTCCTGTATTGCAGTCTAATGCCTCTTAATTTGAGCATCTTGAGAGTCTGATAGTCAGAAACTTGTATCCACATTCCCACTGTCTAGTTATAAAATTAGTTTGTTGTAGGAATACAAATACTGAAATGTACCTTTATGCATAAAGATAATGACATTCAATACAGACATACATTCTGTTGCCGTAAATATATTGAGTTTACAGTGGTCCCATCTCTCTTATGTGCAGAAGGAAATCTGCCTCTGCTTATCACTGATTTCACTTGCTATATATATTTTTTTTCTTTAAATTTTTTAATTTTTTTTTTTACAGTTTTTCCTTAGGGGAATCTTGTAATGAAAAAATCACATTAACACAGTGAGATGTGCTTATGAAGGATAGCTGGTGATGCCTGGCAAGGTTTTGTCTGAATAAAATATTTTGGTTTATGAATCAATACTAAATACGACATAGGCACAAAATTTCTCTAGAGCAGTACTTAAATTCTTCATGTTCAAGACATGAACATGTAATTTCTTTTAATCAAACTTCCAGTTCTATTTTTTCTAATTGAAATTCAAAATTTTTATAAATCAATTACATATTCTAAATTTATTTAAGAAGGTAATTACCTTTGAACATATAAGCTAAAATTCTGGAGGAGCATTACTTTCCAGAAAGAACATTTAACTCTAGGAAATATTCTTTTATAATTATCAGGGCAATAAAAGAAAAATAAAATGTCAAACAGTAATTACAATTGTCACATCCTGGCAATTAAGGTTCATTCCTAATATGCCTCTTGCTTTCCTCAAATGTTACTTTTTGGCAATTGATTACAACCACAACAAAACCTGAACCACATTTGTATCTCATAGAACATACATAAAGCATTTCACATTAGATTATATAAATACATAATTTTGCTTGAACTTTGAGGAGACAACATCCAAGCTTCCATAAAGAAAAGGGCCTGATCAATAAAGCAACATTTGCTGTGTTTACAGTTAGCGTTTTATGTCAATATCCTAAATTTCTTTTTCCTGCAATTTGGGCAAGTGATCTCTTAGACAATTGGATAAAACGGAAACAGAGCCCTCCACATCTGTTTTCTGTAGAGGGTGGTACCATCCACAAGTTCAAATGCAACAGGAAAAACTTTACAAGTGGGTAAATCCTCAGCACTGGGAAACTCTGGCATCTTTAGCTACCAGGTAACAGCTTAGCAGAGAATTGTGTCTAAAATTTTTTACTTCGGTGCCTACATTATTATTTTAGATGTCTATCATTTCCATGAGAATACCACGGGTCTCATTTCTGCATAGACAAATTGTCTGAAGGTTTTTTTTCTCATTTCGAACAGAAAAGAGTCCTCTGGTGTGCAACAGAAGTTTCTGTCATAGCCTTCAGGTTAAATTTACTTGTTTCAATCATCTAATGTAAAATTCAAATCATCTAACCTTACATATTTATACATGTATCTGTGCTCGCACTTTTCATCTAGTGATCTATTTTTGAACTGCACTTCAGGATGAGATTTACAGCCAAAACTAAGAGTAAGTGGAAAGTGATCACATCAGTTTTAGAAGCCTATAATTTAATATTAACTAAACTGTGATAAACTCAATCACATATTTGCCCTTATTTCCTTTTATTTTGCAATCACCTAAGCACTGCAGTTAAGCATTGCCTCCGGGTGCCCTATGTGCTGTTCCAGCTACTTCAGTGTCTTGTAAGCAGAGTTTTAAGACCTGCCAACATCTGGTTCAAAGCACCTCTCTGGCCACTCTCCACATCAGCAGCGCACAGCGTGTCATCTGCTCACTGCATCCATATCCTGAGTTCCATCTACATCACTGGGCCAGTTTGACTGCTCCCACCCCTGCCTGGTGGTCCTGCCTGCATCTGTGTTGAAAACCCATTTCCATTGTTGCTGTCTCAAAAAGAAAACTCCATTAAGGACAGCAAGCAGTGTCCAACCACATGCAGAAACTGATACAATTGACAACAAAGCACATGACTTACCAGAATTGAGCAGGATGATGGACTTAAGGCACACGAATTCCTCCCCTTGAATGTTCATCATGCGAAACCGAGCAGCAGTAGCCAGCAGCATGTCAAAGATTTCCACCATGCCCTCTACACATTTCCCTTGATTCCTGTGTGAATACCATCAATGGGGAGACATTCAGTTTGAAGCTGGTGGTACCACAAGTTTTTCATCCCCTTGAACCAATACTCTCCAATTTGTTTTCATCAGCTCATGAGCAAGTGTGTGACCTCCTACTGTGTGCACATTTGATATACGTGTGATTACAAAAGCACTGTTCTCAGTGTTCCAAGTAAAATAAATAAAGTACCATATTTCCAAAATAAATCAGTTTCAGGAACTCATCACATTACTGTGGTGGAACATTTTTAAATTGACTCTACCAAATTCTTATATTGAGGAAAAGGTTTGTTCAAAACTACATTTTGATTTGTGTGTATGTGTTCTGCTTTTGTTACTTTGCTTCCTCTTTCTTTTCTTTTTTTTCTCTTTAACGGGAATGGTCCCAAATCTTTACATTTTTCCCTCCCTAAACATTTGCACTTGTTTCTAGCTGCCCGAGCAACCTTTAATGTTCCAACACACTTCTTTTGATGTTCAATGTCAACATAATCCCTCCATAAAGAACAAGCTCATTCATGAGCTCAAGAAGGACCTAGGAGGCCAAAATCATATCTGTACAACTGATTAAAACTTTCAATTCAGTCCACATATCAAGTAACTTTCTACATTGCAGCATTAAACAAAGCTGAAGTTTGGAACATCTCAAAGTGTTCATTAGTAATGGCAATTAACCATCTCCTTCTGCTCACAGTACAAGACATTCCCACTCACTAATTTTCATCTTGCCCACTCCACCTGCAGCTGAAGAATTAATGCAGATTGTAATTATTTTTTGTGAAAATTTAGTCTGCAGATCTTTTGGTCATTTCCATTGCTACCTTTTACAAGAACTACCTACTTTTCCTTCTATTAGGCCTTCCTGAGTGAAATTGTAATAAATAAGTCTTAATGAGTGATCCAATCTGCTGTTTAGAAACATAATACTTTTTAGATATGGCTTTCATCAACAAAATTAGGAAGATCATTGCTACAGGAAAATGCAAAAGAAATTTTGAGCATGTCCTAATTTCTTTGTCACAAGAAACCTACCAGCACAGAGACACCTGCCTCAAGTCTTAATGCAGATGTGCTGTTGAGAACCTGTAGCTGATGTCTGAACCCACACCAGACCCTCAGACAAAGCACACATCTTCCCTTCTGATTGCAGACTGAGAAACCTCTTTGCACTCTCCAAGGCATCAGGACAAGTTTCAGTACTTCTGATACAATATATTTGCCCAGAACTATAGAAAGATTCATTTCCTCTCTATAGAGTTTAGCACAGAGGACTAGAATCCTTTAATAGCTTTGCATAAACTTAAATAATGCCCCAAAAAATGTTTGTTTAAGAATTTAGTATTTCAGGATTTTGCAGAAAGGAAAAGCTTCTGTGGATGAAGAAAATGACCAGTGTTAAAAAAAACCATCTTCATGTCTGACTGAGATATTTGTTTCGTTCCTAGAATCCACAAACCTACTGCAGCCAGCATTCAAAGCATTTCAAAATATTAAACAGTCTGAACAAATTGCAAAATTTGCATGTCTACCATGAGAGGAAAAAAAAGAAACAGGAAGTTATTTGTAAATCAGACTATTCAACATGCCTTATGGTGCCTCCTGAGACAGACATTTTGATAGCAAGTAAGAATTATTCCCAACATCCTATAAAAATAGTTCAAAAGACTGTAGTTTACAAAATCAATATTCCAATCATGATTCTCTTGCTGACAAGCACAACCTCTGGACAAAAACCCCTAATCCAGCAAAACATATTCCATGTGCTTAAACTAACATGTGTGCCTCTTTCCCATCAACTGAACTCATATGATAGAGGATTCATAAAAATTATGTAAATTTAAGAAATTCTAAATAGTTTCTAATCTCTTTTGCTTTGCTATCTGCTGTGTGTATGAAACACCAGGCTACCCGACAAGGGGTTAAAAAAAAAAAGGGTATTTCTGTGGGTAATGTACTTTAGGTGAGGTTACATACCCAGCTTTAGGTACTCATGTGTGCAAGGAATGACTTAGAAATTTCTTCTTTATTTTCAGAGGTAGGAAACAGATCCAGCTCTACTGACATCAATGGGAACTGCAGGAACTAAGTATCTTTTCTATACAGTGTTCTGTTATTTTTATTATTATTTAGGCTACCACAATTATTTTCTTTGTCAACCAACAAGAAACTATCTGAAACTGGAATCTCCAGTTCTCCTGAATTGCCTCCTAACTTTCTAACATAAGGTGATAATACCATCACCTCTTCACAGTTATGTGTTCAGTTGATAGGGAGGCCTATCTGGGAAAGCCTAGAGATCTTTCCTGAAGGAGAAATTAGCAATAGATTTAACAATTATCTTTATCCTAACATCTTGCTGTTGTCTTTGTGTACTCTTATCTTACTGAAGAGAAGACAACAAAAGCTTGTTTACTGCACAGCATCACAGTGTATTCTCAGAAGAATCCTTTAAATTTGGCTATTGGGAAATGTTTAGGAAAGTTAAATCATTTTAATTAAAGGTCTTAAGTGACTGCATAAAAGTACTTTCTGTATTAACTTTAGCAGATCTATAAAATCACAGCACCATCCAGGCCAGAGGGCAATTCAGAATGACTTTAGTCCAGCCTCCCACTCAAAGTGGGGTCAGCTTACTCAAGCCTTTATGCAATGCTGGTCTTGAAAATCTCCAAGGATGGAGACTGCACAACCTCTCTCAGCTTAATTATTTTCATCATCATGCTTTTTTTCCTTCCCTATATCCAGCCAAAACCTCCTCTGCTTCAGTTTGTTACTCCCATTTCTCAATCTCTCATCAGGCATTTTAATAAAGAGCCTTGATAACCTCCTTGTAGAGTGTAGGTCATGCAGACTTAAAAGCCCTTTCTTCTCCAGGCAGAACAAATCCACTTCTTCCAGCCACTTCTGGCCTTGGTGGCTCTCCACTATGTTTACTGAAGTTTATTAATATATTTCCTGCAATAACTGGTTATGGTATTCCAGATAATGAGTGCACTATAAAAGAAGGATAACGGCTTCCCTCCTTCTAATGGCTATGCTGTCACTGATAGTGGTATCAGTAACCAGGGCTATTCCATTGTATGTAGAAATAAGAATCTAGATTTTATTTAAGTCTTGGTAAAAACCTAGACAGCAGGAATGCCTTTAACAGAAGCACAGGATCAAGTAAAAATTAATACTGAAGGGTCCTTGGGTGAAGGGAAGAGGGACTCGAGCACTTAATGGATGTTCTCATCAAACTTTTCATTCAAAGGGAAATGTTAAAGACAAATGCACGACCAAAACAAAGTCTGACTGTGTTTGTTATCTTTCTGTCTTCTTTTCCCATGGTACTTCATTTGATGAAAAGGGACTGCTAGGAACAGATGGGATACACAAGGCTAGGATAGGGAATATCAGCTCCAAAAGTGGACTTAGTAACTTGGTGATGAAGCCTCTAAACAAGACTTGGATGTGTTCCTAAACCGAAAGGTAGGTTAGGAATAGGGGAGAGAAAAGCTGCAAGGATAACATTCACATCCCCAGTTAGAAAGCAGGGCATTCACAGCCTTAACTCAAATGCCTGTTCTCTGACACAAGAGGAGAACAGTAAGTCTGCACAGACTTCCAAATAAGAGATGATCTTTATATACATTAAGGTATTCTATATAAACTAGTTCCATTAATAGGCATTGCTAGAAACTTTCTACTTCTATGTGAAGTAATGCACTAAAACAGCTTAAGGAAGTGGGGCATCAGGAAAGCTCCATCTGCAAGGATTTAAGACCAAATCAAGAACATCTACTTGGATGCCTTAAATCCTGCCAGACAGGTATTATAGGGATACTTAACTAACAGAGGATTCCACATTTACTCAATGGTGTGCTTTATCAGTCATTAAAAGATGAGAAAATTGTTATCAGCAGAGAAATTTTACTTCAGACCATCCTGAATTTAATCAGTAATACTAGGGATTGTTGAAAAGGTTAGGGGAAAGGTAAGCAGGAAAAAAATTAAAATCTGAAAAAAATTAACCCCAAAGCTCTAGAACAAAACAGCAATCTGAAAAGGAGTCAAAGAAAAAAGCAGAAACTACCAAGTGTAAAGTAAATCACAGTGTCAGATAGGGATCCTGCTGATAAAGAGAAATGCTTATTGTTCTGTCATTATCCAGGAGGTTAGATATCATTTTTCTTTGGAAAAAAATGTTGTTTTGATTGCAGCAATCTAGCTTGCACCTTCACACAAATCAGCCAATAAGTGGTTGGTGGTCATGAAGGTGTGAGCTACAGAAAGGGACAAATTAATTATCTGCAGGGCTTGTTCTACAGTTCTGTTTTGTTGTTTTCCATGTGATTTTTGGTTTGGGGGTTAGGGGCTTTTTTAATTGACTTGTTCATAAGCCTTCAGAGCCTTAACATCTTTTGCTCATGCCATTTCTCCCTAAATACTGGCTTTCAATTAACACACCCTGGGGAACTTCATAGACTACAGTCAATGGCTGGTATTACAGCCTGCTCTTCCAGAGCCCATTGTTTCTTATTCAATATAAGTTTAAGAACAAACATTTGAGTCAATTGCTGGCTAAAACATATTCAAAATTTATAAAATTAGTCCAAGATTTAAAAGCCATAATTGAAAAATATTTGCAATAAATTTGAAGTAGCACATTTATCAATTAAAATAAGAAAAAAAAATCTATTTTGAAGTTATTTTCACTTAGAGTTAGTCACAGGTTACCAGAGCTGCTGATATTGCATGAATTGTCTGGAAATAATCGAGTTCAGTGTCTCTGCTCAGGCCTGTATATTGTTGGGTTTTCAGTAGCTGCAAGGACTGAGACTCCAAACTCTCTTGTCCTGTCACTGAGAAGAATCTTCCACTGCCTTCTTTACTTCCCCTCTCCATCAGATATTTATCAGACCTGAGTCTTCTCAGATCCTCCTTGTATGAGAGCTGTTCCAGTCCAGTATGTACGTCTGTCTTGTGTAGGGTAGCTCAGAACTGGAC